AATAAACTCTTTCAGCTACAAGTCTCTCCTGACACTTTTCCAGTTGACGTTGTTGCTATTCCAGTTGCATCAGGTGACTCTGGCCACGTCATCATGTTCTTTAAAACTAATCTGTGTCATCTGCTTGACTTTTTGGACTATTTGTAGTCTGACAATAGTACAACTAAATAATATTCTACCCCCTCGATTGTTTTGCAAATATCTTTTAGCTTCTCGTTTCATTTTAAATGGAAAATTTAGGAATTCTTTTTTTTCCCAATAACTGAAAAAAACAGAATGCGTGTTTCGTGCATCAATATATGCCCAAGAGGGTAATAATAGAGAGTTGTTGGAAGTCAAATCAATACAAGGAGAGGAAAGCTTTTCTGACAATTAGAACTCTCCTCAAATATAGACGTTTATCTCACAGAACATGGTATCTTATCAGTGACTTGCATATTGTGTAGAAGTTTGTCCTAGATGTCCTATTGAGTTCTTTTTAAATCTGAGATTTTCTGATAAAGTTAACTCATATTACGTCCTTTAATACTCAGTGATTTAATAAGAGCTTATCCCACTCAATGATTCCTATAATATGCTGGAGCTATAATCTTGATCAAGTTGCCATACCCAAGCCAAAAGCAAAACCTAGCCTGTGTTGAAAACAGTTCAAGCAGAAATTGTACACATTCATTTCTGACTGTTGATCTTCCAACATAAAATTATCACAGCTCAGATAAAGTATTCAAAGAAAGGTAGACAGGACAGTCAAATGCTAAATACTAAGATGTGATACATAAAAATGGTGATGCGTAAGAATCCCTTAAATTTGAATAAAATTAAAGATTAAGAAATCATAGTAGAATGTTGAAACTTAAAATGGACTTTTCTCAAATTGCAATAATAGGTAAATGCTTCCCCTTTAATGCTAAAGTTAACGTTTTATTTTATATTTTTAAAAATCTTTGTATTTAAGATTTTAAAACCAATAGTTTGGAGAAATGCCAACAGTAGTTCTCAACCATGCCCACACAGAAAAATCACCTGGGGAGATTTAAAATTCGGATTCATAGGGCCCCATCTCAAACCAATTTAAGCATCATCTCTGTAGTCAGAGTTGAGAACTTCAGTATAAAATGGATAAGCTTTCTATTTGCTTTCCCTGAACACACACACACACACACACACACAGAGAGAGAGAGAGGCATTTCTTATAAACAATGTTCATTCTTAAGGAATTCATTATTTAGTTCAATTGCCAAGCACTGCATGACTAAATATGATAGAAAAAGAATTCAAAATCATTCAATGCGTTGTCCCCAGGGAATTTATATTACAAATGCCCTACTGAGTTCTAAAACATTAATATTATTTATTGACTTCCACTCAGCAAATGTAGTATACAACTTACACAAGTCAGTGACAAATATATCCACAGTCTAATATAGATGCCGTATCGGAGAACGATTCCTAGTTCTTACTGAAGCTTGACTTTACAATCAAAACAGACTTTGCCTGAAGTAAAGAAACAAGAACCTTCATCTTTTGTGTCAATTTCTGGAATGATTACCTCTCAAATAACCTTGACCAAACTTATATTTTGATTTTCTGGCACTGCTGAATTTGAAAGAATTTTTTTAAAAGATTGGTTCTTTTAAAAAGAAAGATTAAGTGAACTAAAAAAAAAGTCAATTGTTTTTCTTAACAGGAAAAACAAATCAGATAATGGAACAAAAATACTTCTCATGGAAATCACAAAAATGTCAATATTTTTTCAAGTAAATTTATTTTTCCCTAGTTCCTCATCTGTTCTTTGTCTTTTTGTGTATACATTTTAAAATATTCTGCTTAGGGTTTCTAGACAAGCTGAAAAGTCCAGAACTTGAACTCTAACAAAATAATCACTCAAAATTGGTCATATTATGTAATGAGGTATACTTTCCAAAATTATATCCTAGTTCTGTCATTTGATTAAAATCCTCTTTTGGATACCTTCTGATAACCCTATTTCTCACCCCATCCTCCATCTCCTGCACCTATTATATTCCGTAATGACCTCACCTTCACTTAAAGTTGTAGAGTGGAAAAATAACTTAGAATCTCATCTCCATAAATTGAGCTGAGGCTAATAAGGAAACATTGTGGTTAGTCTAAAATAGAAGCTGTAGGAATATTAATTGTAGTAGTAAAAAAAAAACAAAAACAAAACCCTGTATATCAATGTAGGCGGTCCAAAATACAGAACAATGAAAAGTCTTAGAGAAGAGGACGGGGCTTCTTTTTTGGATGTGGGGGTCCCACGCTCTGGACTGATAGTTATCTGGCTCCTGACTAATTTTTATCATGTAAAGATTACTTAGCTGGGGAATTAGAAACTTCATGCAAGGAGCTTCATGGACTACACTAAGCTTAGAATTTGGAGCTCACAAATATTGTGAATTCAAATGCCTACGAGCCCCAAAAAGATGTTTAAATTTGTCCTGTCAGAGTATGCTTCATCTACTGACAAAAATGAATGAATCAAAGCCAGAGAGAGATCTTGTGACCCCTGCACCTGTCTTCTATTTTCATCTCCTATTAGGTAGATGTTTGGAAAATAAATAAATCACCTTCTCAAGAAGGCACTTGCCTCTGTGGTCTTTGTTCTTGATTTGGCACCTAAATAGCCTGGGACACTACTTTACTCACAGGAAAAAAAAAAATAGTTAAGAGACTTCATTTGAGTTTAAATCCAATAAACATCTAAAAAGTAAACTTCTAATAAACTCTAAAAAGGAGAGTTTAATATAAATTCTTACTAGGCTAAGATCTCTATTTCGTTTTCATGATTATATGTGGCTCAGCTTCATTTCTGTCAGTGCACACACTTAACATGAAGATCGGTGCTCCAAAGTGGAAAAATCACCAAGTTAAGTTAAAATCAACAGAAATGAGGGTGGTGATTTAGGGTTACTAAAAACTCATATTCATCTAAACCATGTTCTTTTTATATCTTTCTTTGTAAATGAGGCATTTATTGAAAGCAATACATATGCAAAAATAGTGTATTAATAATTCGAGTACGGATTACTTAGAATGGTTTTATTGATGATATAAATAAGGCTATATGGTTTGTAAACTGGGGCTTCACAGTGTGCCCAATACAAAGGAGAACAATGGGGGACCCCATGAATTGGACATATATATGCGAATTAATCTACGTATAATAGGTGTATTTAGTCTTAAGTGAGATTATCACAACTGTGTTTCTCTAACACCATCAAACGAGCTCTCCTGTATGGTCCCAACAGGTGGAGATCACTTGTGATTTTAACTTTGTGTCCTATGAAACTAAATTGTGAAAGGACTGATCATATACTAGGAGCATCCTAAAGAGAGGCCCAAACAAGTAGCTGGTGGACTAATACTAGGCCTCTCCCGGGTCCATGACATGCTGCATACAAACATATTAGTACCTTCAGCAAATCTATTTCTAATGTTGAGAAAGATATAGTTTTATCTTAGCTGGATGACAGTAAAAATTCCAGTATCTCTTTTGTTCAACCATCCATGTTCATCAAGTGAGATTAAGATTAAAATTTGCTTTCCACGTAGTTCTACCTACCAGTTTGAATATTATAATCTGCATCTTTTGCTGTAATTCAATATACCAGTATAATGGTTTACAAATCATTATCCTTTGGAACGTGATTATTTGAGATAGAGTCATTTTCCCCTGTGCTGACAACATGAATTTTCTAAGTTTGCAAAGCAGAGGCTCACCAAGATCAAGGTCATGTTGAGAGGACCAGCCATACCCTCCCTTCTCTCCTAGCAACATATATACCACTATATACACATTAAAACCGTAGGTGTGGTAGCTTTACTAAGGGTACATAGTACTTGACATCCAGTAAGTACTATGCATATATTTATTTACTGAATTAATCTATCCTAAAATTGTAGTGCTCTTTCCAAGATTACCAATTGTAAAAAAGGAAATATTCACTGAGAGAAAGTATGATTTAGAAAGAGGTATCCACAAAAGAAAATGCTCAGAGAGCTAAAAATATTTGGAACTCATTTCGCAGTATATGAGTTAGGAGTATAACCAGATATGAACTGAGGTAAGGTTATTGTACAGACTTCATGTAACCTCTTTACTGTGAATATTCATGTAGTTTCTTAAAGAGATGTTATATGTTTAATTGTAGGGTAAGGTCGTATATTACCTTTAAAAATATTTTTTAAATCTAAATTGGTAAATGGATTTGGCCCCAAAGTCTCAGGTAAGAAGTCATGAGCCTGTAATCCTTTCTATCATGTAATCAAAGAAAACTGATCAATATCTTATTAAGTAAAGCTCTTAAGAGCAGAGAGAGAGAGAGAGCAATTAGGGGAATGGTTTTATAAACTATATAACTGTCTAACCAATGTACTGTATACTTGAAACTAATAATAAAATTTTTTTAAAAACTTAAAGACTTGAACAATATGAAACATCAAATAAGGAGGCTAAGTAATGTAGAGAACAGAGACACTGAATCAGAGAAGACATCAAATTTTGATTCGATGTCAGCAAAATATGTGAAATTTGCTATATCTTTTTAATCCTTAGTTTTCTCATTTGTTAAAAGGGATTTTTGGAGGTTCACATGCAATAATATAGGAAATAACATATGAGATAAAAGAAGTAATGATACTGAAAGACTGTAGCTGCTGCTGCTATAATAATAATTGTTAACCTCATTATGTGCATGGTAATGTTTCTGACCTCTTTCATAGTGGCAGCAAAGGAAATGTTGGTTTTAGTATTTGAGGCTTCAGAGTGTTCATAACTTCAGTATGTAAAACCTTAAAAATTCTAATATAGGAGAAACAAATAAACATTGAATCATATTTCAAACCAGTGAGATTATTCACATTGTTTTAAAAGTTAAACAAATTATTTGGAAAACTACATTAGAGAACTAATAGTTTTAATCACTTACTAATAAATATGCATTATGTACTTCATACTAAAAGACTGTAATTTTCTTTACCTGAGAAGAGTAGGTATGACCATCTGAACCACAAACGGGGCTGGTATAGACCACTGGGCACTGCTTGCAGGTGGATAATATGGGACCCCTCCACTGCTTATGGCCTACTCCTGCATCTTTCATACTGTTAAAAAAAATAAATAAAGCAATCACACTTAGTGCATTTATTTAAAAAAAAACAATTTATATTAACATCATACTTTTTTTCCACTGTCACTCTAACTTGAAGATAAGTTAGAATCAGAAATTGTATTCTCATTGTCCATGCATTAATCTATAGAGTAGCCTTCATTGTCATCCTTTGTTTTATATATCAAAGTTTTCCTATAATAAAATGAGAATATATTCCTTAACAATATTCTGCTAGTCACATATAGGTTACTTATATTTCATCATATGAGGTTTTCTTCATTTTAATTTATAGTTGTGATGTATTTTCGATAACACTGGAAATGGACGCAACAATTGCTCAGCCATAAAGGACACATCTTGGACCTCCTAAAGAGCCACCCTCGTATTCTGCTGGGAACAGTTTTAAAAAAACAGATACCAAACTGACCCGGTGTACCCAATGAGCCTGAAAATAAGAGCAGTTTACATTTAGAGAAAGAGCAATCAAGAACTACACTTTTCTAGCAATGACCAGTATTCAGAGAGTCAAATGAGGTTTAGTGATAGCCAATCCTCATTTTATTGTGCAGAAATGTCTCAAAATAGATCCAATAGGCTTTCTTTGACCTAGAATAACTTGGGAAAACCCATTCTCTTCGGCTACCTACACTTAAACTTATTTGTTTTTCCACTTTGATTAAACTGTGTTATTGCTCTGCCTATTTGTGTGAATAATTTACATAGAGTGGGTAAAGGGCTTAAAAATAAGAAGCGAAGCAACAGGCAATCTATACCAAATGAATATTTAGAAGTACTCTAGCAAATCAGTACTCATTCTCAGTCATTAAAATTGTTTATGAAGAGAGTAATATGATGTCTATATCAGGATGAGAAAAGATGATTTACTAGAAACATTTGCATCTTTTTGCTTTTCATTTTCTTTTCATGAATAAGTCAAATGTACAAAAGAGATCCCAAAGACTATTAAGAAATATAGCAAGAATCTTCATTATAAAGAATGAAGTTCAAACTATGTATTTCATATTTTGATAAAATGTAGGTGGGCATTAAGAAAATGCTTATTATTCTCTCTTCCCCCTCATCCCCACCTTCCACTGTTTCTGTCTCTTAACAATTTTTTTTGAGGCTATTATAATGCCAAACACATTTTATTCATTTCAATTTTGTAAATTCTGCCAAAAGACCACTTTAAAATCTTGCCTGGTCACAGAGTTCATCTCATAAGAGATACAATGGAAAAAATAACCATGTTGCTATTGGCACAATATTCTAATGGAAATTAAAATGATGACTGGAAAATCTGAAACATTATTCTATACTACTTCAAAATATAAATTACAGAAATGGAGTAGAGCAAAAAAAAAAATATTTGCATTGTTTTTCCACCTGTGTAATCAAAACAAGGCATAAAATTATATGAATTATTTGCTCTTCGGGTACGTCAGGAGAAATTATTACCAAGTTCAGGCTTCTAATGAATAAAAAAGAGCCTTTTATCAGTGCAGGATGTATATAAGCTTTTTTGCTTTGGGCTATATATAATATATACACTATGATATATATTATATATAAATACACTATATTCTACCATTCAAGGCACTAAGTAGTTTCATATCAAGATACCTGTTATTGTGTTTCTAGTAGATGGAAAATTAAACTAACAAAGAATTTATACTGTTGCTAGCATTTCTTTCCATAACTTATTCTGAGGCAGCTGAGTCATATCATCTTTTCATTACTTGTGCTATCTTCTTGTGTTATTGATTTACCTTTCCCTCTAGTCTCAGTGACACAAAAGCACAACGATCTCTTACTTTTCTAATAACTACAATGCTAATTGTTGCTACATATGTTTAATCAATTATGGTACTTGGTTTTATATTTAGTTAATTATATATGTTGTACATTTTAACAACATAATTTGAATATAACTTCAATGTTTTAAGATTTACATTGATTTTAGAAAGAGCATAAATGATGTTACCAAAATGGTTAGTAAGAAAAACTCATTTCAATTTGATTTAAGTTTCATGTGACCATGTCCTTAATCAGTTTTGGCAAGTCAGTAATCTCCCTGGGTTTTATTTCTTCACTTATAGGATAAGCTTCATCGGTATGGATCATTTGATCTTGAGGATTCCACGAGTCTATAATCTTTAATAAAATTACTTATATGAGGCACTCGACAAAAATTAGAAGCACAGATAGTGCATACTAGCCATAGGTTATAATTTTAGAACTTGACTTAGTGTTTCCAAGTGAAACAAAGATGTCATTATAGTGTGAAGGGTGATGCTGAGTGGGGCAACAGATTCCTAGGAATGCTGAAATTATAAAACTCAGCTAACTTAAGGTAACAGACACATGAAGGGAGCCCTGTCTTGTCATAATTAATGAAAGAAGGAAAATAAAACATGGTTGTGTTTAAAGAGGCATGTTTTCCATGAAAGCATATCTAAGAATCCTAATAATACTTCTAATATATCATCAAGGAACATTTGCTAATAAATCATAAAAATGTAATACATTTCATATTTATACTATAAATGATTATATATATTTTAAAGCCTTGTAGTTTCTGAATCCAACAAAATGCAAACCAAATAAAATTCTAATTTATTTATTATCTATTCACATTAGAAGGGAACCATCTGTGTCTAAGTCTTAATTTTTTAGGTGTAGTTTCTTCTTTCTCTATGTATCAATATTAACTTAATTTTTAATGACTTTGCTTAGACAAAAGAATCTGATTATAATCTGATAAAACAGCATTAAAGTAAACAGAGATATTCAGTGACTATCTCAACTCAGGGCAACTTGATGTATTTCTTGTCTATTCACTACACCTAAGATTTCAATTCCTTTGTTCAGTTTTTTTTTTTTTTAAGTTCTGCTAGAACTGTGGAGGAATTCTTCCTTAAGGCATGACTGCCAAGTCCTAATTTCTTCCCTACAGGCTGTAACTCTTCAAGAAACAAGGCCATTCTTACTTTTTCATCACGGGCCTTAGGAAAAAAACAGATGGTATTAGCAAGGTGTGGTAAATTATCTTTGGGGGCAAAAAAAATTACATGAAAGTTAGAAAACCCTATATAAAACATTAAAACTATAGTGGCCATTATGTTCTTCATACAATTTCTGTACTCAGTATGACAGTACTTTGAACAATGAAGCCAAATCACATAAGTAATTAATTTTAATTTCAAGTAAAGACATACTATAAAAAGAAACAAACCTTTACTTATACCAGAAAACATTATTAACTGTGGCTACTAAACAAAAAACATTATATAAAAATAAGTTGGCATAGTTTCTTCTGCAATATGAAGAGAAAATCTACTTGCTCCACATATTTCATAAAGAACTAAGATTCACAAAGAAAGCTCACTTGTAGACATATTTCAAAATGCAGTGATAGGAATAATTAATAAAACATATCTTTGAAAACTATTCTAACATAGTTTGAATTAACAAGTGAATTAACAAGTGAAAAACGACAGCATAGCTGCCTCAAATTGTATTCAAAGAAAGATCCACCACCACCAATAAGTGTTGTATAGAAAGTATATCTGGCTAATTAAATCTGAAATTTATATAGAGTGTAATAAATAATACAACACCATACATATGATTTAAGGAATCAGTACAGAGATTAACTAATACATGAACTGGTTCTATTTAATTTGTGTTGATAGGTATATTCATTCCAGATATGCTCATACAGCATATGAGAGGTTTACTAAGTCTACTTACTATAGTTAAAATAAAAATGAGCAAATTCTTCATTTTTCAATTATTAATGTTCATAATGTTCATAAATAAAGAAGCTTCAATACTACTTTAACCTTAAATAGTTCTATAGTGTCAGCACAGCTAAGTATGAACTAAGATTTGAGTTCACAAAAATGTGTGATTCTTAAAGGTCAAGGAGATTCTGTATTTGGAAAAATGTATTCACATTTTTAAAATAACAGTGACAGATGTGCAGCTTAAAAAGGAGAAAAATATTCTACTTAAAAGAAAATGACAGTGAAACAATAAAACATTTACCAAAAGTCATGAGAAAAGATTGATCATTCAAAATATATTTTATATATCAAAATATGTCTTCACTATAAAAAATTCTTCTGATTTTTGTTCTTCTAAATAGAAAAGAAATATTTTTTAGCTACTACTCAATAAATAGACTTGAAAGCTTTATCAGAATCATTTAACAAATAAAGGACAAATTTTATTGAAGAAAACAGTCATTAAAAATCCTCCAAATTTCAGGGAAGGAAAAGAGATTTTCCTCCATGTGCTGTCTTCATGGAGGTCACTGTCATTGGCCTCCCGGTGGTTTGCTGGAAAAGGAAAGCTATTGAAATTAGAAAAGAGACAGAAGGTACCATGTTTTGTTTGAGTCTGATTTTTACACTGAGAGAAAGGATCAAGAGCACAAAATCTTCACTATGCGTTAGCTCTTACAGTACATTTTAAGTTAATTAATTAATAAAATTAAAGAGAATGTTTAAATTTATGAATCCAAAGTATTTTTCTCTTTACCACATTTTATTTCATTCCTTTCTTGAAAGTGTATACTTCTAAGCATCTTTGACACTTTCTGGTGAAATCGAGTCAGATTTGCTAGACAAGGAAATGTTCTTCAAAAAATGCTATCTCAATAACTTGTACCATATCTAAAAGATTATGAGAAAGGCCCTTTGAAACAGTTTTAACTTGTTTCCTATGCCTGCTATAACAAAGTACCTAAAATTTTCTGTCTTAAAACACCAGAAGTTTAATTTCTCAGTGTTGTAGAGGTCAAAAGTCCAAAATCCTTTTCACTGGGCTGAAATCAAGATGTTGGCAGGACCACTTTCTCAAGAAGCTCTGGGTGATAATCTATTCTTTGCCTCCTTCATTTTCTGGTTGCTATTATCATTCCTTGGCTTGTGCTCGCAACTCTCTCAGCTCCATCTTCACCTCATCTTCCCCCTTCTTTGTGTCTGT